ATCCGTGATTGGGTTGGTGTAGCTCTAGTGACGGACAAAATTAGAGAGAGTCGTCTTAGATGGTTTGGTCACATCAAACGCCGACCATCTGATGATTCGATTAGAAGAGTAAGAGCGTTATACCTCAAACCATATATTCGACTTATATTTAGAAAGGCAAAGGTAGACATAAGAAGATTTGGACATATTGTATAAAAAATGATATTAATTTACTAGAATTAAATGAAAAAATGACACTAAATAGGACGCAATGGAGAAAAAGTATTCATGTAGCCGACGGATTCATGTAGCCGACACCACGTAGTGGGATGAAGGTTTTGTTTTTGTTGTTGTCGACTTATCAAATTTCATTCAAAATATTCCATTGATTTCTCGTATTGGATCCAAAATAATCCAAGAAAGGGATTATTTTGGATCATATCTGAGGATTTATTGGATTAAATAGAGCATTTCAGATACCTGAGATTAAAATAGTTGCATAAATAAACAAGGAACCATTTTAATTTTTTTTTCTATTCTATTTCTTGTCAGCTTGATGAACAACGATTTTAAAATTCATTGCAGATACCAGGTAGATTTTTGATCATTTTCCGGCTTGCACTAGTTTTGTAATCCATCATTTAAGCAATGGATGACATTCCACTATAAGTGTCAAACATGATGCTCTTGGATACTCATATGTTTTCTTGATAACTTGTTGGATTTATTGCAGGAGATATTCTAATTTTGTCCACTCATTTCTTTATTATCATTTTGAGCATATCAAAACTTTGAAAAAGATTGTAACTGCATGATGTGTTGCTCTCATATTATCGATGTATGATCACTTATTCAATGCTTGCTCATATGAGTCTTCATTCCACAAAAGTAGTGGAATTTGACAGAAATGATTTGTTATGAATGAAGTTTGCACAGCTTGTTGATCAATATCATTGTGGGCAGTCTTCATTGCATTTGATGGAATTTCTAATGTTGCTTTTTTACATGCAGCATTCATGGTCTGATACGTGGTGAAAATATGGAGCTTGGTCGAGATTCTGACACTGGCGGTCAGGTAATATTGCCTTGAAAATGTACACGTGCATTAGTAGTTTGTTTTTGTATTCGTTAGGTTTGTCAAAACAATTTTTTGTTTGCTAATAACTCATGTTTTGCTCACTATGTAGCTCATTTTCAATTTATTCTTTAAACAAGTGAGCCGAACATGAAATATTATTTTAGAGTTCGATTAATAAACAAGTCGAGCACGTGACAACCTTTGCTTTATTATGTTTGGCTCATTTTTTATCGAATTAATTAAGTGATTAAATGAATAATAAATATTATAACTTTTTATATTGATTTCAATGCTTTATTTAAAAAAAAATGTTGAAGTTTATTATTTTTTAAATCATTTGAGATAAATTTGAGTAGAACACGAATTGCAAATGAACAAATGAATTTGAATTTAGCTGAATACGAACATGCTATTTATGAATTATTTCAAATGGGAATCGATTTCGAATAAATGAAATCTTGAATGAGCCAAACACCAAACAAGACTAGGCTTGCTCAAGCTAAGCTTTGTTACACCACTAGTAATCATTTCGGATAGGTTGAAAAAGGTGATTTGCAATTTCTTGAAGAATAAAACAATCAGCTGATTTGTTTCTCTGTTTAAAAGCTTTCCATTATTGCGACTTCACAATTTATGGGATGGCTTTCATTTATTAACTGGTCAGATATGTTGCTTTACTCGACTAATGTTATGATTTCCATTTTTCAATAGGTAAAATACGTTGTAGAGCTTGCCAGGGCATTGGGCTCAATGCCTGGAGTTTATAGGGTTGATTTACTGACTAGGCAAATATCAGCGCCAAATTTTGATTGGAGCTATGGAGAACCTACAGAGATGTTAGCTCCCAGTCATTCTGAAAATTTTCGTGAAGTTGGAGAGAGCAGCGGCGCTTATATAGTACGAATTCCATTTGGTCCAAGAGATAAATATATTCCTAAAGAGCTTCTCTGGCCATACATTCAAGAGTTTGTGGATGGTGCACTGAGCCACATCATGCAGATGTCCAAAGTCTTGGGAGAGCAAATTGGTTGGGGGCAACCTGTATGGCCAGCAGCTATCCATGGTCATTATGCTGATGCTGGTGATTCCGCAGCACTCCTCTCAGGGGCGCTAAATGTACCAATGGTTTTCACTGGTCATTCTTTGGGCAGAGATAAGCTCGAACAACTTCTGAAACAGGGACGCATGACCCGGGATGAAATTAATGCAACTTATAAGATAAACCGTAGGATTGAAGCTGAGGAATTGGCTCTTGATGCCTCTGAAATTGTTATTACAAGTACAAGGCAGGAAATAGATGAGCAGTGGTGCTTATATGATGGATTTGATGTTATACTTGAGAGGAAATTACGAGCTAGAATTAAGCGAGGTGTCAATTGCTATGGTCGTTTCATGCCTCGTATGGTTGTAAGTATATATCATCCAAATAGTTGCTTAATAGGTCTCTGAATGTTTTTGAGCATAGTTTATTGTTGGATTTGACTAAAACCACCTGCTTTTGTGCTATTCTGTATGATTTGCAGGTGATTCCCCCTGGAATGGAATTCCATCATATAGTTGTAAATGATGGTGATATTGATGGCGATGTAGAAGGAAATGAAGAGAATCCCACTTCACCTGATCCCCCAATTTGGGCTGAGGTTTGTGCGTAACATATTATCTGTGTTGAATCATGAAACTATTTAAACGGCTGCATTTTACATGAAAAATCATCACTATATGATGGTAGGGTTTGTTAATTTTTTTTATTGCTTTTGATCATTTTCACCTGACTTACTATTGCTATACTTTGCAGATCATGAGGTTTTTCACTAATCCGCGTAAACCCATGATTCTTGCTCTTGCTCGACCTGACCCCAAAAAGAACATTCTGACTCTGGTGAAAGCATTTGGAGAATATCGTCCATTAAGGGAACTTGCAAATCTGGTAAATCAACTGTTACCCATCTATTAGAGGACACCATTGTACGTGTAATATTTATGCCTCAAAGTTTGCGGGCAGAACTAATTTTCTTATTCTTCTTCTTTTTCAACATGTTTCTGCTGATTATTTTCAGTTTTTCTGCAGACATTGATAATGGGCAATCGTGATGCCATTGATGATATGTCTGGTACAAATGCAGCTGTACTTACTGCTGTCCTCAAGTTGATTGACAAGTATGACCTTTATGGGCAAGTAGCATACCCTAAGCATCACAAGCAATCAGAAGTTGCTGATATTTACCGTCTAGCTGCAAAAACAAAGGTATTGTTTATTTAGTGTTTTTCATCATTTTTGGTGGAGGCAGTTCAAATGAGTATTTAACATAAGAAAAAAAAAAGAAAATCTTTATGTGCTTTCTTCTCATATGTGGCTCGAGTTATGGAGAATAAAAAGGAAGAGGATGTGTATAATTCGGTAAACTGGATGGTGGTGTTGATTGGGGATCGACCGGCTAAAATTCATTCTAATGGCAAACCCCCACCAGATCTTAGACCTTGAATTTGGGAGATTTATTTAAAAAAAAAACTCTCTAATTCGTATTTATGTTTCTAGCATCAAGGTTATGGACCTTGATCTATGAAACATTATAAAGGTTAATCAATGTTAAGGATACCTTGATTGCTAGCATCGAATATAATATTAATATGATTTTTATTCCATCGTTTGTCCGGCTTTCCACAGCATTAGCATCTACTTGAGCAATCTTATGATTTGCTTCTATTATGATATATTTGTCTACTCTTATTCCAATACTTTTTCCATGAAACTAGTTTTTTTTTTTCAAGTCCTGCAATTTTTATCAATATTCAAAATAGAAGAGGATATTTCACCTATATCGCATCATTAAATATCTTTATTAAAGATGAGGTCTCTAGTATAATTTTGCTTCAATTATTTTAAACATAAGGGTTGCTGATGGTTATAGCTACTCCATTTTAATTTTTCAAGGAGCGACAAAGTTGATTCAAGCCATAAATTATCTCATCAAAGTTGATATCAGTAGAGCTTAATTGACCTGTCATCAAGTTAAACTTGTTGATGTGTTGTCAATAGAAACTCCTTCGTGGATGTTGAAGTTAAAAAACTTACGCATAAGATGTATCTTACTAAAGGGCTTTCATCACTCATGCTAATGTGGAATTTTGAAGGCAATACCATCTAGGGTTGATCAATTCTATAACTGTAAAAATTTGGAATAATATTTTTGTTTTACAGGACCGTATGGGAGATTTGGGAAGCTACTCATAAGACTTATTAAAAACTTAAAATATTGCAAAATTATTTGAGATTGAGACCACTGCATGAGCTCTGACAAGAGTTGAGTATTAATACTTCAAAGCACTATCAAGGTACTTGTTATAGTTAGATAAGTATGATACATATGCAAGGAAGTGCCCGCAAGATGCTATTATGTATGAAATAATAGTGGAGAAAAAGATGATGATCAAGTTTATATTGGGTTTAAATAAGTATGATACATATGCAAGGAAGTGCCCGCAAGATGCTTTTATGTATGAAAGAATAGTGGAGAAAAAGATGATGATCAAGTTTATATTGGGTCTAAATAAGAATTTACATGAGGTTCGCAGTAGAATCATGGGGATGAAGCCTTTGTTAAAGTTAGAAGTAAAGAAAACATGAAAAAGCTCATCATGGCAAGAATTGTGGGTTCATCTAGCTCCGAAAGTTCAGTTTTGTATACCCATAACTCCTCCCGTTTTTCAAAGCTGAAGAAGAATCTTCTTTTGTGTGAACATTGTAAGAAACTTGATTACACAAAGGACAAGTGCTAGATACTACATGGAATACCTATAGGGTGGAAATCTAGGCGAAGGGAGAAAGGACCAATACAACAAGGCGCGTGCTGCTAAAGGTTAGCTGACCCTAGTCCCTTCACCAAGGAACAACTTAAGGTGTTGAAGAAGCTTCTTACTAGCACGACCAAGCTGCTTACTAACTTAATGATACACCAAAGTATAACATCCTCCTATTCTGCTAACAATGGAAGATTTTGACCTTGGATAATAGATTTTGGTGAGATACAGAAGTTAAACCTAAATTCCAATAGGAAAATCAGATTTTATCAAACAAAAGCAAATAGGGTTGCAGTCAAGGACACTTGGAATGTGAAAACAATGACACAAACAAAAGATCTCGCTATGGTGAGGAAGGAAGGTGGCGGTAGGTGTGAAAGGTGTAGGATGGGTGACAACAAGCAGGTGAGGGGCCGGTGGCGGCCTACAAGCAGGCCGATTGCTAGAAAGTGGTAGCAAGTATGCAGGGGTTTAAGCGAGGCGACAACGAGCAAGAGGGGGTGGGGGGCAAGAAAGGGGAGACCATCAAGCAAATCGGTTGCAGTAGCTATAAGCGGCGCGCAAGGTGGGGCGACAGCTAGTAGTCAAGGGAAAAGGGAGGAGATATGTAGAGGTAGTCACCACCTCGGAGCAGGATACAACCGAAGTACCACCTTTTCTCAGATGCAACCCTAACAGTGTAAAACATTCCAATGATAGAAAATTCTGAAGCAAAAACTGAACCCTAAAATAAAAAATAACATATTTATAATAAAATATAATTAGGAGGGGGAAGACTCTCCCTACAGGCGACAACCCTAGACCATAAATGGGCTGGCTGGCTCCCCTATCACCTTAGTTGAACTGGTTCGACCAAGCCTAGCTGATTCAACCCTCCCCCTGAGCCTTATGTTAGTCTCCTGGTGTTGGGGGAGGTTTTCCTCATCGTCAAAGCTTACAGTTCATTGTAGCACAGAGTCAAATCTCTCACATTGAAGGTAACAGAGATATTGTAGTCTTATGGCAGGTCGATCTTATAGGCGTTGTCATTTATCATCTTGAGGATCCTGAATGGTCCATCTGCTTTGGTCTTGAGCTCACCGAACACTCCTACTGAGAACCTTTCTTTCTTCGTCCGTATCCACACTAGATCCCCTTCTTGAAAAGTCATCTTTTTTCTGTCTTGTTGGCCTGTGTTTGGTAATTGCGGTTCTGCTTGGGGATTTCCTTTTCCATCTTTTCTATAGGTTTTGAATCTTCTGCACCTATTCTGCAGTATCCCACTAATCTCTCATGTCGGCAGGAGCGGTACCAAGTGGAGTGTAGTAAGCGAGTTGTGCCCGTACATGATCACAAATGGGGTGCATACTGTGGTCTGACTCACAAATTTGTTTCAAGCAAATTCGTCTTAGCTAGAATTTAATTCTACTGCTCAATATTCTTTTCCACAAAGCACCTCTAAAGGTTCTCCAGACTCCTGCTCACTAGCTCCGTCCGACCGTTCGACTGTGGGTGAGCTATTGAACTGAATTGAAGTTTGGTGTCGAGCTTCCCCAATAGAGTCCTCCAGAAGTGACTCAGGAAATTGCCATTTCTATCGGAAGTGATGGCCCTAGTATCCCATGTATTCTCATGATTTGTTTGAAGTATAAGTCAAGGACATGTAATGCTTCCAACATTTAGTGATAGGGTATGAAATGTACTATCTTTGAAAATCTATCTACCACAACCATCACAAAATCTTCATTCTGTTGTGTCATCGGGAGACTCACTACAAAATCCATGTTAACATTTACTCATGGGTCCTCCAGTACTGGTAGTGGAGTGTAAAGTTTTGCATTATGTCCTGTGGTTTTGGCTACATGACAAATCTGGCATTGCTTGACGTGCCTCTCTACATCTCTTGTCAGTCGGGGCAAAAAAAATATATTCTCTTACGAGTGTGTCTTATCCCTACCAAAATGACCTACAAGTTTTCCACCTTGACTTTCCTGAATAATGGACTCCCTCAACAAGCATCTAGGAATACCTAATTTTTTTTTGGAACATGTAACCCTTAGCTTTGTGGTACTGCTTGGTAGGTTTCTTCTGACACTGCTCCTAAATCTCCCTAAAATCTTCATTTGTCCCGTACAACTCTTTCACTACCTTAAAGCCTAGACTCAAGTCTGCATCGAAGTGATCAACAAGTTACAACGGCTCAGTGCTTCTGCTACTCGATTATGACTCCTTGCCTTATGCTTAATTACAAATTAGAGCGACGCTAAGAACTCGACCCAAGACACATTTCTGCCATTCAGTTTGTTTTGGCTGTTCAAGAATTTGCAGGCCTCATGATCAGTGAATAATGTGAACTCGCTCGTTAGTAAATGTGACTCTAGTGATTAATAGCTCTCACAATCACATAGAACTCCTTATCATACGTTGAATATTTCCTCGACTCATTCTACTTCTCACTGAAGAATGTTGTGGGGTAGCCTCTCTGGCTCAGTACTACTCCAATCCCCACATTGGAGGCGCTAAACTCAGTCTCGAACAAGTGATTGAAGTTCGACAATACGAAAACTGGTGTCTAAGTCACCTTCTCCTTCAATGTGTCGAAACTGGTATGGGCTGCATTTGTCCACTGGAACTTCTCTCCTTTCAAAAGCTATGTCAGGGTATCAATGATCGTACTGAAGCTCTTGACAAATCGCTTGTAAAATGATACTAGCCCAAAAAACTCTCAGCTCGGTGAAAGACAGGGGTGCAGTTCAACTCACATTGGCCTTGATCTTTGTGAGCTCCACTGAATGCCTTCACCAAATACATTGTTGCCCATAAAGCATACTTGTAATTGTCAGTCGATTTTTTGGAAAATTAATTTAATTTAATATGTATATAATTTTGATTTTGGAAATAACATTTTGATTTAGAAAAATGAGACTAGATATATCTCATTCATATAATAGTTTAGATAGTTGAACACAATACCACAAGTATACACCACCCCGAGAGGTAAGCATAATATTTATTAGTAGGTTCGACCATTTAAAATAAAGAATGCATGACATCCGTTTGGTCTGCAAATTTTCTGACTGAAAATTCTCCTATCTAATATAAAGATTAGACAGAATTTATATTATATAGTTTCTAATTTCCTATAAGGGCAAATCAAGTAGGAACAATTATTTTGAAGATCAAAAGAGCGAGAGGCAGGGAATATCACAGACTTTGAAACGAACCTTAATGACTTCTCAAACTATCATATTGTTTGACTTTATATTTTAAGATTGATGTTATTTGAATATTTACTCCTGCCAACTATTTAAAATTTAGAGCTTACATATGTACGATATACGATCATGCAAATAGCCTTGGAAGATGGAAGTATTTACGTCGTACTGAACAAAATAATGTTGTGAAGGATTTACGTCGTAACGTAAAAGACTACTAGCAAGACAATTAGGAGAAAATAATCCTCAGCTT